CCTGCCTGTTCTGCTCCCCACTCTGTCTCTGGTGGATCCTCTCACCACCCCTGTACCTCTGGCCTGTACCCTAGTTCTGTATGCATTAATAATAAATACATCTTTGAGAAAGAAAAAAAAAATAATGAAAGTACTCCTTGTAAGTTTTAGAAAATGGATTATTTTTTAAGAACTTTCCATTTGACAGGGAGGTTGAGTTAGCCTGGTAAGAGCCTGACTTGAGTGGGACTCCGAAATTTGGTCCTGACTCTTCCCCACCAGCTGTGACCTTGAGGAAGTCATGCAGCTTCCGCTTTTGCAAAACTAGGATTGAACAAGATGGGTTATATTGTCTTCATAATCTTATGAAGTAGTAAAATATGTTATAGGCAAGTTGGAACTCCATTAAAAATAAAGTGGCCTTTAAAGACGTGGGGTTAGTCGTGGCTCTCCTCTCCCACTGTCTTTCCTCAGACTCCCTTACCCACCCTGTACTTTCTTCTCTTTTCCTGCTTTAAGCCCGTCTGTTTTCCTGTGCCATAGTGATGACTTGCTGGCGTTTTCCTCATTGTGTATGTGTGTCACAGTCTGAATGAGGTTCCTCTGGAAAAGGAAGTCACAGAGCTCAGTGACTCATGAAAACTGACGGCATCCTGGCTCCTGCTGGCTCTTCGCAGCAATTCTGGAGCAGGGTCTTCCCCTGGCGGCCAGCTGGGGAACTGTGGCAGGTGTCCTGGCCGAGGATGTCCTCAAGTCACTTCTTGAGCACAAAGCCGCTGGCCAGAGAGCATTCTGGCATGTTCTTGTGTGAATATGTTCTTTTCGGAGACAGACTTACAAAACAAAACAAAAGGATTATTATCCTTTTCTCTGGTTATTTTTCTCCTATCGTGTGTGTGTGTGTGTGTGTGTGTGTGTGTGTGTGTGTGTGAGAGAGAGAGAGAGAGAGAGAGAGAGAGAGAGAGAGAGAGAGAGGGAGGGAGGGAGGGAGGGAAGGAGGGAGGGAGGGAGGTTAAGGGTTAAAAAAGAAAAGAAACAAGTTCTTTGGCAGAGGATTACCTGTTAAGTCTGAATTTGGGGTAGGCTTGTTGCTTTAAGTCCAGGAAAGTCAGTTGTTTGGCTAGGATTGTCAGTAGAGGTGAATACTTTCAGGATGGGTTTTAAATTTTTCATCTTCAAGGGTATTTTCCAAGTTGGCATTGTAGTTTCTGTTGTACTTTTGAGGATTTGAAGCCAGTCATTTTGGCCTGAACCCTTGAGGCGTGGACTGAATGGGTGGGCCCCCAAACATGCTTTGTATAAAGATGCACAGTCTAGTCAAAGCCCTGTGCACTAGCATCAACTCCCTTGCAGAGGATGTCTTCTCACTCACAGGGAAAGAGCCTTCTGGGACCTGGATGAATTGCAGGTTTTTCAGGTTGGTTTTCTCAGTTTGAAAGTATGGTGAGCCCAGCTTACACAGGAAGAATACCAAGGTAGATAAAATAGGAACAAAGCAGACCTTCCCTGGTGGCACAGCGGGTTAAAGCACAGCACTAAGAAGCTAAAGCCACTTCCGCATGAGTTCATCCCCGCTCGTCCTGGAGGTGATCCACATGGCACTGCCAGACCTCTCTGACCCGCCTGCTGCTCCCCTAGCAGTGTACTTTATCAGTCGATCTGTTCTGCTCCCCACTCTGTCTCTGGTGAATCTTCTCACTGCCCTTGCACCTCTGGCCTGTACCCCCGTTCTGTGTGCATAAATAAATAAATCTTTAAAAAAAATAGGAATAGCACTTGGGAGATAAGGCTAGGTCTCCTGAGCACTGGGTGTGGGCGAGCTCGTTCACCCGTGTGTCGGTACCTACCCCAGGCAGGTAACTTTCACCTTTCTGGAAGTCCGAGGTCCAAGGAGGACCCCATGTTCTCTCATACCTGATGTCTGTTGGCACCCTGAAGGTAGAGTTTGGGTTTTGCTTGCAGGGTCAGTGAAGCCACGTGAAGGAGTCTTGAGAAAGAGACTTTCTGAACTGTGAAGGAGGGACCCTGAGGCAGTTTCCCATTAACCTGCCTTCCCCTGACGGGAGTGGTTTCAGAGAGGACACAGGAATTATTTGGAATTTCTTGTGACAAAATATATTTGACAGCTCCCTATGTCCTGGAGGTGGGAACTTCACACCTTATGAGCCTGGTGACATAAAAATAAACACTAGTATTGTCAGTGTTGGGGACAGCTTCCATCCTGCCTACTTGGCAGTTCATAGAAAACAGTTCACCTTCTGAAAGAAAGTGTGTGTTTTCCCTCTCTTCAAGGATGAGGTAGGACAGCCACTCACTGCCTCATTGTTTAGTTTCTATGGGGTTGGGTGGACTGAGGAAGGCAGGGGTTTTAAAAGCAGCAGAGAGGAAAAGAGTTGAGCTGCGGTTAGGGGGACTGTGGGGTACATTAGCTAGAGCCCAGACAGAACACCGCTCAGAAAATAGCCACAGCATTGATTTGGAATCTTAGGAGCTGGCATTTTAATTCTGTAGTCACCTCTTTGAACTCTGCGCATCGATTTGCACACTGCAGATAAATGGTTTTGTGCATTTGTTTTATTATGGCAGTGAAGGCTGCTCTCACTGCATCTGAGGCTTTTTGAGAAAGTGTTTCTGATGAGGATCACAAGCCATGACCTCCAGCCCTTGCCCTAGGTTTGCTGGAATTATCCTCTACACATGTGTGAGAGGAGGCAAAATGATTCAAATTGCCAGTTGTTATTTCAAATATTACTTAGCTGTTACTGTCTAAAGAAAAACACATTTCTCTAAATTTCAACATTTTCTCTCTGACCTTTAGGTTTTTAAAATTATACCGTGTGGTGTGTGTGTGTGTGTGTGTGTGTGTGTGTGTGTGTGTGTGTGTGAGAGAGAGAGAGAGAGAGAGAGAGAGAGAGAGAGAGAGCGAGCGAGCGAGAGCTGAGGGTGATATACACATTTTATTTAACAAACATAATACACAGTGACTAGACAATCTGTGGTATATTCCTAGCAGAACTGAGAGTGTCTGTACCTGGATTACCACTTAGAAAGTACATAGAGAAAAGTCACACCTGTCTTATGGAGAACCATATCACTGTTTGTTCCTTCTTGGCTTAACCGCATCTTATTTCTTATTTCTCTGCCGTTGCCAAGCCTCTGTGTCTCCGTGGTGCTGTTGGTGCGTGGCAGCACATGCTGATGAGGACGTGTGTGTGCGTGTCTGTGCCCCAGGCATCTCCTTGCCTTACCACCTGTCAGCAGAGCAGCTGTTGGCAATGGAGGGCAACTGGTTTGTGTTACTTGGCCCTACTTTCTGGGCACTCTCTTGACTACACTGGAAATTTTAATTTCTGTCATTTTTTAATATCAGAAAATTTCATCTTATTCTTTGAATGATGTTTTAAAAGACATCCAGTCCTTTTTGCACAAGTATAATTACCGGGTATATCTTAGCTGAGAGGATATGTGCTAAAAGCTCTCTTTGCACGGGACTTGTCTGCTATTGCACACATGTCCTTTACTGGATCATGATCTGCAGGGATTTGTTGCTTGTCCAGAGGGGAATCCTTGCCTGCTCTGTTTGGCTCACACAGGACAGAGGAACAGCTTCATTTCATGGCCTCATGTCCAGCCTGACTGAAACAGAAACTAAACCTCCTGCCTCCTCCTGGAACGTGGAGGGTCTGTCTGTCCACTGGTTTGTGGCCTGGGCACCAAGGATTTATTTATTTTTATAGGATTTATTTTTTTGTTTATGTCCTATAAGATTTTATTTTATTTTCTAAGATGAATTTTTTTTTTTAGATAGCTTCTTGGTTTATAACATTAAATAAATTTTCTGGTGTATGATATGAATTAGCAGCATAGTATTACACTGTGATCACCACCCAAAGTCTAGTTTCTGTTCATCAGGAAAAAATCAGCCCTCTGTGTCCATTTCACCCCCCAGATGTGTGAATGAATATTTATATGTGTGCGTGTGTGTACATATATGTGTGTGTATAAGCACACACACCATGGAATACTATTCAGCTGTTTAGAAAAAGATGAAATCTTGCCATTTTTGACAATACAGATAGGTATTTTGAGGTTATTTTGCTCAATGAAATAAGTCAGGTGGAAAAGGACAGCCGCTGTGTGATTTCATTCATTTCATGTGGAATACATAAGAACAAAGTTGGCGGCATGTTTTTATGTGCAGTCTTTCACCTGATCCTGCTTTCAGCCTTATCCCCAGTCCCTGGTATTTTCTGGGCTTCTGGGGACATTGGCTCTCCTCCCTGAAGGCACTGGGGCTCAGCTGATTTTTCTCAGTGGCCACTTGGACATGTGTCCCTCTCTCTCTCCGACTTTGTTCTATCACTTGTCTGATGGTGATCTTTGCTCTCTTTCTCTCTCACCTTGTAACATTGTGTTTTTTCATTTCTTAAATGATTTGACAAAGCTTTTGGAAGGGGATGGATAGAAATGCACGTATTCCATTTCTAGTGTGCAATTGGACCTCTTTCCTATTCAGCTCTAAATAATTTTTTTTGACAGAGAAAGAGCTGAAATGAGACCTTTATACAATTAAGCAAAACTGGAGGTTATTATGCAGCCATCAGATTCTAAAGAGAATATTACAAGTGCAATAATTAGAATTCCTATTACAGGATGATCTCTGGAAAAACAGATTATGTAATTTTTGAGTGCTAAGGTTTTGAACAAAATCAGTTCTACTTCTACTAAAACAATGTATTGTGGTAATGTACTTAAATGCTTCCAAAATTTCCCAAATTCTGGAAATTCATATATTATGAGTATACCAGTTCTAGGTTATTTATGGTATACACATACGGCATATTTCTAAAACTTGTATTTGTCGTGTCTTTTCTTCTACAAAGACAAAACAATTTCATTATAAAAATACTCCCCCAATCTCCTCTACCAGAAATGAGCACTACTGTTCTCCAGTTCTGCATTTCTGTTAGGTCACAGTTAGCCCACTTGATCTTTATGTCTGTCTTCTCATTCTTTGCCAGGACACTGGGGTGGGGAAATCAAGCATCGTGTGTCGATTTGTCCAGGATCATTTTGACCACAACATCAGCCCGACCATTGGGTAAGTTCCTGTTTGCACTTCTCTTTAATGTTGCCATACCAAGCATTCTTTTTTCTTTTTTTTTTTTTTAAGATTTTATTTATTTATTTATGCATTAAGAACTGGGATGTAGGACAGAGGTGCAGGTCATGAGAGGATTCACCAGAGACAGAGTGGAAAGAGAACAGATGAATCTACTAAGACATATTGTTAAGGGGAACTTTGGGCAAGACAGGAGAGGTCTGCTGAGCCAGATGTGGGTTAGCTCGTGGGCAGGGATTGAACTCAGGCCATAGTGCTGGCGGCATGATAGCACTGAGACTTAACCCCTACACCACCAGAGAGGCCCTCCAAGCATTTTTTGCAGTCACTTTGTGCCTGAACCTTCAAGTAGTTACCATGCCAGCCAATGAGATCAATACTAACTGTAAAGACTATGACAGCAATTCAGGGACTTGCAAGCAGTGGGTCTGTCAATAATTATTTTCCTTGTCAGTGGTCCTTGTACCTGAATCTATCTCCTAATCTCCAACAACATTATTCTGCAAATCATGCCAGCTCTATTTCCAGATGGAAGATGAGACACATGTCAGTTCCCCAAGGGCTCTGCTTTACCTGCCTACTAGGGAGCCTGGGAAGCTGTCCACTCACCCAGCCGGGCTCACAGTCTGTGGGGCAGATTGATTTTCCTTCCCCTGGATTAATCCAGTGTCAGCACTTCCTTTCTTGTGCTGGGAGGGAAAGTGGACTCTTCAGTTCTGAGATCTTGACCTTGGAATGTGGAAGCATTTTCCAATTCCATTTTCTCCGTTCTTATGGATTCTTGGCAAGATGTACTGCAACTATGTGGTTTTGCAGGTGCTTGTTTTTTCACTCTCTGAGAACTGGGCATCACTTCTTTTTCTCCCTGAAGAAACTATCTCCTTCAAGGGAAACAATGCATTTATATAGTCTGGGAACATTGTAGAGTTGATGAAACATGGTGGTGTATCTGCAAGTGGAGAAAATTCTCTCCACAGGGTATAAGTCAGGAGCAATTGATTGGTAGCATAATTTAAAAAATCCACCACATACTCTAATGAAAAGTGACTTAAAAGGAGCATGTTTACAAAAATATGTGTCAAGAACTGTGACAAACAAACAGGTTATCTGCCCAAATTCCCTGGATGCAGGCAGATCCCATGTCTAGGGAAGAGATAAGGGGAAGAGCAGAGGTTGAAGTGTTGCCATTTTGCATTGGTTCCCTGAGCCCAGGTTTCCGCTATGATGATAAGAGCCAGATGATAATGCAGTGGGTTGTGTGACAAGAGAATCTGGAATTAGGAACCCATGAAGAAGTATATCTGTGGGAACTTCTGTAGATTGGAGCAATCTTACAGGGGAAATCTTTTCCTCTACACTTTTCTTCTTAAATTTCCACTTTCTGTTTCTTAATGATAAAAAGCAAAACCAGTAAGTGTGATTAACTTTGAAATGTGGATCTAGAAATGGAGGAAAATATTTCACTGTTTTTTGTTTTATTTTTTCTAAAGATTTATTTATTTATACAGAACCGGGGTACATACCAGAGATGCGGAGGGTGAGAGGATTCACCAGAGACAGAGTGGGGAGCAGAACAGGCAGATCGACGAAGTACACTGCTGAGGGGAGCAGCGGGCGGGTCAGGAGAGGTCTGCAGCGCCATGTGGATCTCCTCCGGGGCAGGCGGGGATCGAACTCATGTGGAAGTGGCTTAAGCTTCTTAGTGCAGTGCTTTAACCCGCTGCACCACCAGGGAGGGCCCTTCACTGTCTGCTTTTTAAATTTAAAAGTTTTTCTTTTATATAACAACTCAGTATTCATTTTGTAATGATTTTGTCTCTAAATGAAAGCCCATGCATGCTTTCACTACAAATTATTATAAATGCATAAACGTGTCAAGCATAATAAGCATCCTTTTGTGTGTATGTGTTATGATCTTTTCATTCAACATTATATTGTGAATTCACTGCCACTAAAGGTTCTTTAAAAACAGATACTTTAATTACTAGATTTTTCCATTTAAAATTAGATTGTTTAATTTTTTTAATTTTAGAAATAAAGGTATAACTGATGTATATTTTGGGCACAAATATTTGCATGTACATTTAATTAAGCTAAATCTTACTAAGGGAGTAATTTAGTCAAAGAAGTATATACTTTAGATTCTTGATAGATTCTGCCAAACTGTTTTTCAGAAAGGTTGTCCTGATTTTTCTTTATATCACCAGCTTTAGGTGTCATTTAAAAAAGACTACATATATGGCTTTAAATTCTTCTAAACTTTGAATTTTTCTTAAAATTTCTTGCTATAGATGATTTTAATTGATTGTAACATTAAATTCTGTTCTGTTCTGCTTTCTGTCCACTTCATTGCTCCCTTTTCTTGTGAAGTCAACATTAAACTTCTCTGTTTTTGTAGATTGCCTTTTCCTGTTATGTTTTAATCCCCCAATTTTAAAATTGTTCAAAATGTCTTCTCTTCTGGGATTTTGAGAAAATGTTTCCAAAAGCCAGTTTCAGAAAAATAAAGCTAGCAATAGGCCCTGCCTGCTGGTGCAGTGGGTAAAAGCACAGCACTGGCAAGCTAAAGCCACTTCCGCATGAGTTCGATTCCTGCCTGCCCGGGAGGTGACCACATGGCGCGCAGACCTCTCCTGATCCTCCCACTGCTTCCCTCAGCAGTGTGCTTCGTCGATCCGCCTGTTTTGCTCCCCACTCTGTCCCTGGTGAAGCCTCTCACCGCCCCAATCTTCTGGCCTGTACCCCAGTTCTGTACGCACTAATAAATAAATCTTTGAAAAAAAAAAAAAGCTAGCAATAACATATAGATTTCTTGGAAGATGGCATAAATGGAATCTTTTCAAGAAGGTTGAGTGCTTGTCCCTCAGGCTGTAGATTTGGGAGATGAGAATCAGGGTTACAGATGGGTTTTGTTTAGGATGCACAGTCCTTAAAAATTTTGAAGCCAATAATGCATAACCAGGAGATTTTTATGTAATACACTTGCATTTTGGCTTCTCATACAAAGGTCAGGGGAGTTTGGAGACTGGGCCACACACCCACACTGCAGAAGCTGGCAGCCCCTGAGGTCGGTGCTCCCGGCGGTGGTAGCTCTGCCCCCCACGTCACTCTCTCTACTCTTATTATCACCTGACTCACTTCACTCACTTCTGTGACCTTCCTAGTCCCACAAACATTCCAGCTACTGTCCCTGGTCCAAGAGCCTTTTTCACAGTAACCTGCTGGCCTTAAGCGTTAGCGTAGGTGGGTGACTTGTTTAAACACACACAGCCAGTGAGCAGCACTCTTATGACTCATACAAGAGAGTCCTCCCTCAAAGTCCAATCCTGTTCATGCTGCCATTGGGAAAAGGCCATAGGCTGTAAATGTCATTGTTCCCATATGGAAAGACTTGACTCTTATCAACCCCTGTGACTCACACTGAAAACATTTTGGCACTGGTTTATAAGCAGATTGTATCGACATCTTGAACATATGTATGAGTCTACCTTCCTTTTTTGACATTTACAAGGAAATTATGCTTTACTTCTCTGCTAAATTTTGGTTCACACAGATTATGAGGTCTGTTCAGAATTGCCATTGCTACCCTTACCACTACTCTAGAAGGTAATCAATCTCTAAAGAGGAAAAGATGCCTGAGGTTAAGACTATGATCTGACAGAGACTATAAAAAGAACCTAAGTGATCAAAGGGCAATGATTATCAGTCTTCATTTCAAATATTGGTAGTCTTTCTCCTAGTGACATAAAGTCAGGAACAGAGAAGGGTGTATGTGCAAACCTAAGTGCATGTTTGTGACATGCATATGAGTGAGCATATGCGTGTGTGTATGTATGACTTATATGTACATAATTGTATTTCTGTGATTACGGGAATGGTTCCTTATGGACTTATGTATCGAGTGTCATTTTCTCCTTTGTCCCTGCAGTAGTCCTTTAGAGTATGCAGGGCAAGTTTTGGTTCCATTTCATAGATGAAGAAACAGAGATGCCTTCTGAGTACTGATTCCATTCAGCTTGGCGGTGAGACCTCTGCATTCTATCCCTGACTTTGCCCCTAGACTTTTTGACCAGGGACAGGGCAGTCTTTTGGAATTCAGAACTACCCCCACCCCCAATTGTAAAGTGAAGGGTTTGGCGTGGATATTTTATGGTTTTTCCTACTCTAAAAATCTATGATTTTAAGAATTTTAAAAAAGACTTATTTATTTATGCATACAGAACTGGGGTACAAGCCAGAGGTGCAGGTGTGGCGAGAGGATTCACCAGAGACAGGGTAGTGGGTAGCAGAACAGGCAGGCTGATGAAGTACACTGCTGAGGGGAGCAGCTCGTGAGACAGGAGAGGTCTGCCACGCCATGTGGTCACCTGCTGGGTGGGGATAGAACTCGCTCTGCTGTGGCCTGCTTGGCAGTGCTGTGCTTTAACCCCCTGCGCCACTAGGGAGGGCTGATTTAAAAAAAATTTTTTTAAAGATTTATTTATTTATGCATACAGAACTGGGGTATAGGCCAGAGGTTCAGGAGCAGTGAGAAGATTCACCAGAGACAGAGTGGGGAGCAGAATAGGCTGTCTGACGAAGTACACTGCTGAGGGGAGCAGCGGGCCTGTCAGGAGAGGTCTGCTGAGCCATGTGGTCACCTCCGGGGCAGTTGGGGATCGAACTCATGCTGAAGTGGCGTTAGCTTCTTAGTGCTGTGCTTTAACCCGCTGCACCACCAGGGAGGGCCCAATTTTAAGATTTTTTTAAAGGCATCGACTTAGTTTTCTAAGTCTTGAGAACTTTTTTAAGGGCAGGGTTAATGTATTTTTTACCATGGTGCCTAGAATGTATTGAGGAATGAATAAAAATAAAACAAAATAAAATATAAAGCCAAACTATTCATATAGCAGTCTACATAAAGTTTTAAATGATGTTTATGAAAACACTCATAGCAGGAGCATAAGGGACCAGAAAAATAAAATCAATAAAGTAAAAACGAAAACAATGAACAACTATAAACCAGAGACATTTTATGGGAGGTGAAAGGTGATTGTGATCAAAACTGGGGTGGGAAGAGTGCACGGGACTATGGTGATGGCACACTGGTGAATTGGTGGTGGGAAGTCCATGAGGATTACAACTGAGATGAAAAAATGCACAAAATGAAGAATGATATAAAAAATAATAAATATGTATTATACATGTTTGAAAAAAAATAAAGAACAAAGGTTAAGGAGAAAAATATTCAAAATATATTATTACAAAAGATTAGTATAAAGTACTCAATATGTGAATAGGAAAAGAATAAGCCTCTCAATTAAAAATTGGGCAGTGTTCACGTACTTTAAGATTTATAAAACAATAATATAAATGAAGACTGAAAACTAAAATATGAATAAACTTATATAAGTATATTAAAAACAAGAATGATATTCATTTTCTGCCTGTCTCACTGGAAGGGATTTGAAAGACTAGGCTAGTGTTGATTGGGAACAAGGCGGTCTTATCACTGATACATGTAGGTTGGGCTTGTAGGTTGGTACAATGTACACCTTGGCAAGTAGGATTATAGTTGTCCAAAGACACATAAATTTAGATACAAAAATATTCATTTAGTCATCATCTTAATAGTGAAAAATAGGTAACAAAATGTTGGCCATTGTGGTAGTGAATAAATCCACAACATTGTGTAACTGTCAATCATTTTCAAAGTGATATTGGTCTATATTCCCAGAAATAAAAAGGTGTCCATAATTTATTATGTGAAAGAAATAGAAAATTTGTGTAGGGCATCATCCTGGAGGTAAAAGTTGTCTAAAAGTAATTTGGGGCCCTCCCTGGTGGCGCAGTGGGTTAAAGCACAGCACTAAGAAGCTAAAGCCACTTCCCCATGAGTTCGATTCCCGCCTGCCCCGGAGGTGACCACATGGCGTGGCAGACCTCTCCTGGCCCACTCCTGCTCCCCTCAGCAGTGTACTTCATCGATCTGCCTGTTCTGCTCCCAACTCTGTGGTGAAGCCTCTCGCCGCCCCTGAAACTCTGGCCTGTACCCAGTTCTGTATGCACAAATAAATAAATCTTAAAAAAAGTAATTTGGAAGAATATGTAACAAATTACTAGCAGTGACTAGTGAATTACAATTGATTTTTATTTTGTTCTTTGATAAATTTTTTTTTTGCTTTTATTATAGCAAAGTAATGAAGGTATTTCAACTTTGGGAATATATCTTCCCTTATAGGTAGTGTGGTATATACTTTATTATTTTTTAAAGATTTATTTATTTGTGCATACAGAACTGGGGTACAGGCCAGAGGCTCAGGGGCGGCGAGAGTCTTCACCAGAGACAGAGTGGGAAGCAGAACAGACAGATTGATGAAGTACACTGCTGAGGGGAGCAGCGGGCTGGTCAGGAGAGGTCTGCCACGCCATGTGGTCACCTCCAGGGCAGGCGGGAATCGAACTCATGCGGAAGTGGCTTTAGCTTCTTAGTGCAGTGCTTTAACCCGCTGTGCCACCAGGGAGGGCCAGTATATTTTAAATACTGTTCAAGAAATAAAAAGTCATGGGACAGATGTAGTTTTGATAATGGTGGGTCTGTCTTCCAAAAAATCACTAACCTATCTGATGAAGTTGTAGGTTGGTAATCAGACCAGTTAGCCTTTGGGGTGTTGTATGTATGTGTGGGGGTAATGTGGGGGCTGTAGGGGAACATACTTTCCTACTTGGGACTACTATAGTCTGCCTCTTCACCTTGGAGGCAAGTGGTAGAAACTGAGGAAATGTTAATGGGGTGAATACAGAGTGAGCTGAATTCTGTATAGGGCTGGGTACGCTGGCAAGGCCGTCGAAAAGTGAGACCAGACATCCTTACACTTAATGAGAACATCAATATTGTACCTACAAAATTAATTTTGGTTCAGTGATAAATTGACATATAGCTTAAACCCTTTGCCTTAAAACATTGCTTCCTAAGCCAAAATCTAGTCAAGTTCATATAGAGCAATCATTTATCTCTTTGCTCATTATTAATCTAGTTTCTAGAACAATTTTCCTGCCTTTTGTTTTGCATGCTTTTCATGGACTTATTTGAAGCATGAAGGCTATTATCTTGCAGAATGTTCCAGATTCTAGATTTGCCTGACTAAACTTCCTCATGATTACATTGAGATTAAATATTCTTGGCGTGAATATTTATTATCATGAATGCTGCAGAGCTGATACATGTACCTATTTTCCCATCGCATCAGGATACTTGGTTTGGTTGTCCCATTACTAGGGATTTTTTGCTATTTTTTTTTAGTGAAGAGGAAACATCATCTCAGAAATGATGTCAAGGATGTTTCACATTCCTCATACTGGATTTTTCCATCCCTCATGACCACAATGAAAAAGTTCATTAAAAGCATTTCAAAATGGTGGCTGAAAAAAAAAAAAAGGCATTTCAAATATGCTCCTCTAAGTCTGTGAAAATTTGCTTTAATTACTATGTTAAATGTAATTTCTTTTTTGGAAATAGTAAAGCCTTTATTTTTAAAAATATATATTCCTATTAATAAAAAAAAGCATTTCATATATGCAAACAAGAAAATATTTGTTAAGCTTCCAACCTTTATCCCTGCATTTATGAGGCAAATTTGTGGGAATTAAATCTGTTAGTCCATTAGACGCTTCTAACGTTGTCTATACAGGTGAATATATAATGCAGTTTTCTGATTGTGTCACTGCAAGGCTACACCTGTAACTTAACCAAATACGGGGTGTCCTTTTCACTCTTAATTGTTGTAAAAATCAGTTTTTACTATCAAAGGTTTTATTTCCTCCCCTGAGATTTTGGGACCTATTATTTTGGAACCCACTGAAACTAAGCTGTTTTGGAAACACATTTTCTGAATGTCGTCTTGGCCTCACTTTCTGCCCCCTCAGTCTTTAGTCAGACTTATAGAAGTGCAGACCCTTCTCTTTGGGTGAAAGGACAGTAATCCTCCTTCTGTCCTCTTAGTGGCCTGGAAGGAGTCCTGCTGAACTAAGTCATTGTTTGAAGCAGGAATCTTTGTGAAGATGTTGGGGTAACTGGTAATAATGGAAATGTTGGTTCTTTTTTTCAGGGCCTCTTTCATGACCAAAACTGTGCCTTGTGGAAATGAACTTCATAAGTTCCTCATCTGGGACACTGCTGGTCAGGAACGGGTAAGAATATTTGGTTGCTGGCTTTCTAGGGAAAATATGTGATTGGCTTCTGAAGATTTATTTGTAGTTGGCAAGACTCTGTTTGCAGGAAACCCAGCCTGAAATGATTTAGGCAAAAAATGAAATGCACTCCAGCTATGAGAAAAATGTAGGGGATGTCTTTCTTAAGGATTAAAGCTCATGTCCTCCAAATGTATCCTCGAACACGCTCATTGCTCTTAAATTATTTTTTCTTTGCTTGTACCTTGAGACTGGCTTCATTTTTTTAGCAGACCTAACCTCCCTCCTGTTGTGGGGAGAAATGAGGGTGAGACCAGAAGCACAGGGGTGAAAGAATTCACCAGAAACAGAGAACAGAAAAGGGGGGATTTATTGAAGTACACTGCCGAGAGCAGCAGCAGGCGAGACAGGAGAGGTCTGCTTGAAGAAGGTTTGAGGGCTCCCTTTTACTACCTGTTTTGCAGGCTTTTCCCAATGGGGGTGTTGGTTTGGGCCGGTGACTGATGGGGTGGGGTGTATGGTCTTGGGCACTGGCCTTTGACACAGAATGTGTCCTGGCTCTGCTTCCACATTTCGGATCAAAGTGATCAGTATCAGGGCCTGGTTTCCACAGCAACCTTATTAATTCCCTTTTTCTATTGAGCCTCCCAAACCTTCCTGCTGGGGAAGGGGTGAGGGCTTAGATTTTTAACCTTATTGATACCCTTACACTTTCTTTAGTCAGGTGAGGCAAGGAAGACCCCATAAGCAGTTACAGGCCTACATTTTGATGCCAGAGTAACCCTATGAAGGAGAGTATGTCTTATCCAGGAGTTGCGCCCCACAGTCTTAGTGCCTGTGGGTTTTCATTGGCATGATCTGGGTCACATATTCATCATTCTTCAAATCTATGCTGTATGCTGTTAGGGAATTTGGCACTCCTACTGGTAGGACCACGTAACACACTTACTCTTGGGGCAGTGGCTGTGATGCCCCACCTAAACCATTGACTGGAAGTCAGGCAGTCTTAGATGCCCAAAGAAAATCTGGTTTTCCTACTGTAAAATGGGAGGGACAGGCATTTGGGTTGTCTTTTATTCTAAATTCTTTTTTATGGGAAAATATTTATGGAAATTATTTAGAAGGATGTGCCTTTAGGTATTAAAAAGTGAGACAGTGATTATCAGCAGAATGTATAACAGGGTAGGTGTGTAACTGAAACATACAAGGCAGGGGGCAGAGAGAAGGATGGAACGGCCACCCACTTGCCCAGGCTCTGAGACCAGAGACGCACCAAAAAGCTCCAAAAGGCCAAAAATCAAAACCAAGGGCTATAGCAATACAATACCCACACAGTAGGGGCCTACAGGCTATAGCCAAACAGAGGATAGTGCCTGATAAGAGGCCAGGTCACTGTCTGGTTCTCACCTGTGCACACAATTGCAAGAGACCTTAGGCTCCAGGAACAACCACAATGAGGTTTAATTTATAAACAGGGGAAACAAAGAGCTTACTATATCCACAAGTGGCTGGCTTTCTCACCCAGATAGTATCAGTGATGGTCGCCACTGGTCACCAGGAGTGCTGGTCAGCACTGGCCATTAGTGATGGTCACTATTGGTCTCTCAGAGGAGGTGTCAGAGACACCCAGTGTAAACAGCTCTTTGTGAGTTGTTGGGCTATACCAACAACAAAAAGCTCTCTGAGACACTAGACCCAGGGCCTTTGGTGCTCCTTTCAGGCAATGTCAGAGACAGGTCTGGAGGCCTAGTCTTTGCAAAGGTCTCTGGCTTCTCTTCCCTCCTCATAGGTTGGCTGCTGAGTGCTTCTTTTCCTCTTTCTTTTTCAGAGACCAGGAATGGAGTCTTCCCCTTCTTTCTTGTTCCTTTGGAGGCCAGAATGGTCTTTTTTTAAGGGACTGGCATTGTATCTCCTTTTCTGGGGCTGGCATGGTCTCTCTTGTTCATCTTCCTGAACTAGTATATTCTCTTCTCTTCGGGGGATAGTCCTTCATAGCTCTCTCCAACCCTGACATACAGCCTCTTTCAGGGTGCCCCACCCACAATGGCTTGATTGGACCATTGTTCAGTCTGTGGCTGATTGGACCATTTAGCACCAATCAGCTAATAGCTTGCACCTGATTGGTCCATTCCATGATTCACTGTTATATAAAAGGGCTCTGAGGCACAACTGCCACATCTGACAAAATGGCAGTTACTGGGCTCTGAGGAGCAACTGCCACAACTGACTTATGGTAGAGCAGTTTGGTGAAAGAATACCACTGATACTGCTTACTCCCACTGCTGAGGCTGCTGGGTTCGGATAACAATAAGTAGAGTGTATGTTATAAAGTCAAAAGGGATGATCATAATAAATGATGCACAGAAATGTCTTTTCTTAGGCAAGAACTTTCAAACTGATCAAAGCTTCATCAGAACCAGTAGTGGTGGAATAATATTGACTGAACTTATCTTTGATCCAAGCTCACATATCACCTTTTTGCCTAGCCCCATTTTAAAATGTAAGCACTTCCTCCTTTCTGCTACTTTACTCCACTCCATTTTCCTCTTTTTTTAGAAGGTGATTATGTAGCTCTTATCACCTTCTAATATCCTGCTTAAATCACCTACTGATCTGTTTATTTCCTCTCTCTTTAAAAGAATGAGAATCCAGGTTTGTGATAATCATTGTCATTATCTACTACAAACTGGTCAAGTATGTGCTGATAGGATTTTTATTTTATATAAATCCCCCAACTTTTAAAACTAAAGCTCTAGCATTTGTAGATTAAGACATTCTTCAAGACCTTTTTTTAAACAAGGACAAGTCTTCTGTCCTACAAATGCTAACCTCATTAGAATGTCTTCAATTTTGCTGCTAAATTGAGAGCACAGTGGTGCACACGTGACGTGGCTGCCTGGAGCACCTCTTGAACTCTTAGTTTAAGTGTGCCTGCTGACTCCTGAAATGAGATGCTTGATTCAAGAAAAAAATGTTCACTTAGGGATGTCCTCTTTACACATTTGTGTGCTCTCTGCAGTTGGTAGGCTAACTTATTTTTGTTGTTTTGGATTATTTTTCCTTTCAGATTTTATTTAAACTTAACTGAAGAGAACATCTTGCTCCTTTTTTATTTTCATTTGTGAAATACAGTTGACTCTTAAACAACATGGAAGCTAAGAGACACAAACATCTGTGTATAACTCGAGACTCACATAATTCAATACAGTAGTCCCTTGATATCCACCGGAGATTGGTTTCAGGGTGCCTTTATCAAAATCCTGCCATCCTCAAGTTCTCTGGAGTCAGCCTTTCATACCTGAGTGCCACCTGCATCCCTTTTGATTGAATCTGTTTGAGTTCCTGTTGGTGAATTTGGAATCGTTGGACATGGAGGGTCAGTTGTACTTTTTGAAAACAAATTTTGTGTTTAAGTAGGTTCAGGCAGTTCAAACCCATGTTATTCGAAGGTCAATTGTAGTTTTTAGTGAGGATGATATGTGTGTTTTACAAATAGAGTTAGCAGCAATATGCTGGTCCTGGCCTAGTGGCCTGAGGCCTTCCTGCATTGCATGCACAGAGGCCTGTGCTTTGACTCAGTCCTCACATTACTCTGAGGTAGGGACTATTTTTATCCCCATTTGTGGGTGAGCTCACTAAGGCACAGAGAGATTCATATAACACCCTCAAGATGACACAACTAATACAGTGTAAATTTGAGTCCAGCAATTTGTGTGCTGAGCTTTTAAATTTTGCTCTAATAAAAAAAAGCACATAGACCCTCCCTGGTGGCGCAGCGGGTTAAAGCACTGCACTGAGAAGCTGAAGCCACTTCTGCATGAGTTCGATTCCCGCTTGCCCCTGAGGTGACCACATGGTGTGGCAGACCTCTCCTGACCCATCCACTGCTCCCCTCAGCAGTGTACTTCGTTGATCTGCCTGTTCTGCTCCCCACTCTGTCTCTGGTGAAGTCGTTCGCCACCCCTGAGTCTCTGGCCTGTACCCCAGTTCTGTATGCACAAAATAAATAAATCTTTAAAAAAAAAAAAGCACATAAAAATCATACAGTTGAAAGTAAAATTATCCCAAATCCTAATACCCAGATATTTTCACTCTTGGCATTAGATGACCCTTCCTCAGATACCTCACCATGTGCTGATAATTTCATGTCAGTGAATCATGACTCTCTATAACCTGATATTTTCAGTTGGTAATACAGTATTCCTAAGGGGAGATTTTTGTGTGATCTGAGTAGAGCATCTGACATTTACTTATGTATTTTAATATAATATTCAAGGACTAGTACTTTTGATGATATTTGGTACTCTAAAATGATTATTGAAGCTTGGCTCACTTAGTGTCTCAGAGCAAAATAGCAACAGCATGTTTCTCAGATGACTGTATTTCTAATTATTTTAATTGCTTATCCAAAATAGAATGACTAGTGGTTATAGATATCTGTGACTATTTGTTTTGTCTACTTTTAAAAACATTACTATTAAACGGAAATGGCACGGCTCCATAGTAGATCATTATGCTTCAGGGAAGCTATTAAACGGAAATGGCACGGCTCCATAGTAGATCATTATGCTTCAGGGAAGGATTGAGTTTTAGATAGTAATTGCAGGTGAGTGCTTTCTATAATCGATGTGAGTGAAGATGTCTGAGCAGTGTCTGTAGGGCCTTTGTGGTCATCCGATCTCTGCCCTCGAAGGCCTGGTTTAGCTATGGTCATGCTGTCCTTGTCTGGTGTCCCGGGAGCAGTCTCCCATCTCTCCAGCGATGGCAATTTTTCAGTCATTTTGGCAGCTTGTTGCTGGACTTAATCGTGCTTGTAATGACGTTGCCTAATGTGTGAGCTAAAAATAAATTCCCTGCTGTTGCTTGTGCCTATTGCTATTTGTTCTGTCTCATTAATTGTTGGCATCCATTGCATTTTATCATCTCTCCTTATCTTTGTAGAAATCTGCTTGTGTTCTCCTTGGTTTTCGTAATTTTAAACAAAATCTCTTCAGATTTAT